GGGAATCCTTAATCATAGGTGATGATAACATGGTCATGGTCATGCGCAGATGTGCTGGACACATGCACAGGCTGTACGGTATTTATAGTCCCAAGTGGTCATCCGCGTGTGTGTGTGATAATTGTTCACTTCTGTAGCCACCGCTTGGGTCTTAATTGTTCCAGTGATCGCATCTTCTTCTTCTGAACTGCTTCCTGGGACTCGAACATTCTCTACTATAAGCGAGAATGTTATAAATATCACAGTAAAAGGGCGCACTCATTCCTTAGAAGGACTGCGTTGTCCTATCAGCTGTCAACCGTCCAAGCTACAACGCTTAGCGCGTCGTGATTGGTTTAAGCACGTCAAATTAATTACATGTAAGGGTGTTCTGATGTGTGTATTCTTAGATTCATTCTCAAGTTTTCTTCCCCCTCGCATGAACCAGTCGACAGTCTGAGCCTTTTATCCCACTGCTGCTGGGATTTGGTGCTAAAACAGTCCGCTTGCAGATGCAACACAGTACCTGGATCTCATTTCACGGAGCTCCCGAGGTTTAAATTAAGCTGGTGATTTGTGTCCACATTTTTCGCTTATATTTTGATTTTTCCTAGTTATTTATCTAGATTTACTGGAATCGATAACTACACACATTCTATCGCCTACTGTTGGTTTTTCTGACTTAAGTCCAGTTGGAGCGATTTCATGGCCGTGTAGAATGCTCACGCGCTTCACTGATACAACATTTAAAGACGAGCCATTGCTATTTCATTGAAATGTGCTGATTTTCTTTGTTAGCTCCCATTTGATTTTTGTAAGATTCCCTGTTCGGACATCGCGTTTCGGAAGTTCTTTACTCGCATCTGTTTTCCATCTTCTTGTATGCTGGGAAACTGAAAGCGGAGAAAAACTTTTCCCCACCATATTTGCAGTCAGGAATACGATTGGCACTGATCCGGATTTCAGTTAATGTTTTCCGGGCTCTAGCACATGGTGTTTCGGGAAAAAAATTTCTCACGTATCCGACTGTTAACTAGTGTTCTCAATTACTGCTCTTTTTCCCCTTGAGGGTAGGGATAGACTCCTCATTCAAACCTTTTCAGTGTGCATCTATGCCTTCACTGGGGAGCAGGTTATATTGTTCGGGTAACTAGGCGCCTATCCAAGCGGATATGAGAACAGCCTCGTGGTAGCTAAACCTAGGCATGCTAAAATCCATTTCTAGCGCAACATGGCTCACTTTTATGACGGCGACCATCAGGTTGACGTCAAACACGCATTCTGAGTCATTTTAAATGTGCCGACGAAACACTCCAAGTACCAGCGTCAGCGGATACTTGCGACGGCAGAGGCAGTCGCCATACGATTAAGTAACCCACCTACGTGCGCGCAGAAGACGTTTTAACAGGCACTGAGGCTCACCTGGCCGAAGACGAACTCAGCATGTGTAGTTACACCTCCTATCACGTCGCATCGCGGCGAGGACGCAGAAGCATGAACTAATTGTTGGATACCATCTCGCCCCTCTCCCGCAGTCTTTAATGGAACTAGACTATGCTTCACGATCTCTGAACACACTCAGCCCTCCCCCTTACTTACTGTTTATTGGATTGGCAGAGATTCATAGAGAGGCCGTTTGAGGATCGGTATTGATAATGGCCACTTACTGGCCAATTTTCAGTAGGTCGAATTTCGGCCTATCCAACGGCTTTCTTCACTAGGTTAACCAATAGCAGTTTTTCTAATATTCTTGTAAGTCAATAGGCATCCTTGCTGGCCAATAGGTGTGTATGTTGGT